TATGAGGCAGAAATTTTTCGGGCAATGAAAGTGGTTGCCCGGGAAACGCAGCCACCCAATGTTCGCAGTGTATTAGTGTATTTTCCCTGTGTATCAGTTGCCCGGGAAACAACATTTCATTGCCCGAGAAATTTGGGAAAATCTTAAGGAATTGATCAAATTTTCAGGAGGAATTCAAGGAGTAGCGAAGAGGACTGCGAAAGTTTGGACTACTCAGCATATTCGGCGGCTGGCTTCGGCAGCTGCTCTCCAGTCTCCTCCACCGAATCGTCGTCTTCGATGAGTCTCATTTCGGCTGCTTCTTCGAAAAATTCATCGCTCAATGGTGGTGGGGTCGGAGTCAGAGGTCAAGATCAAGCTCGAGGTCAAGGTCAAGATCAAGGAGGTCATTTGACAGGGCGACGAATCGGAACGTCAGCCTTGAAGACAGTGGCAAGGCAGGAGTTGAGATCGACTGATTCGGTCGGAATTGAGGCGGAAAAAAAGACGGTGGGATCAGGGCTACCGGTTGGGCCAAGACCGTCACCTATCGGTGCCTCACAGCCACAGCTGGTGGTACAGCAGCAGCCCTCAAGTCCGCAGGTGAGATATTATTGAGCTGCGGTAGAGAGCTGCATTAGTGATCTGGTCCCGACACGAAAATCGTTTTAATAGATAAATAGAATTTTACAGAATACATGTGTATTGTATTGTTGTTTTACTATGTAATATTTCTATTGCAGCTATATAGTACGTTTCTATTGCAGCTATGTAATGCTATTGTTGTTGTAATTAGTTTATTGTATTGTAAGCAGCAAGAGTACTTTAATGCTTAATGTTTCACTTTCATTTGGTGAATTATTATATCATGTCATGTTATATTCACAAAAATGTGGATATAGAGCTGTACGTTAGTTAGATAGNTAAGCTGCTCTTGCAGCGATTTTTTGGCGCTGAGTGGTTTAGTTCATCATTTTAGGATCGCGTTTGTGACTTTATTAAGAGTTTAGAATATTTATTCAAATTTTTGCAGGAAACGAAACCAGTCTTAGCTGTGAAAGGTATTTCGGCACCACGGGTTGCTGTGTCGCGAATCGCTGTTCCACCACCTAACTCTACTCGATATTCTGACACTAATGGCGATATTCCTAGTCATAATCGCCTAAAGAGCAGCGGCTCATCTGAGAGCAAGGCTGTGGTTTTCGACGAAGGCAAGAAATTGAAGAGTGTTGGCGAAAATCAAGCAATGGTAGTGGGAAGTTTGGATGCGGAGCGTGGCGTAGAGCTGGAGTTGGGAGAGCAAAACCGGAAGCAACCGCTCACCGCCGATGCGAAAAGAGCGAATGAGCAAAATTCTCTGAGTGATGAGAAGTTATTTAGTGGTGACGACGATGAGTGTGAGTATGATGAATATGATGATGGTGGTGGTGTTTGCGTTGTTGGAACAACTACAGTAATCCAAAAGGAGCAAGCCGGCTCGGAAAAAATTCCGTGCAGGACCACCCGAAACAAGAAGGTGGACGCGGTGGATGTAGATGATCGTGGTGGTGCGGCGGCTGCAACGAGTGGTTATTCAGCTGCAACAACGTCGAATTCGAATTTGAATTTCGCGCCGCCGCCGCCGCCACCCACGCCACCTACCTCAACTTGCAGCTCTATATCTTTTCCAGTCGAGACCACCTCTTCTTCCCCAGCCAGCAACTCCCCGTCGGTGATCGTGACTACAACCACAACACCACCGTCAACAACAGCAGCAGTCCTCATCAAAAACACCCCGTGTGGCGGTGGTTCTGTTGCAGCGCAAAATCAGAGTCCAACTATCGGCGTCGTTAGTCCTATGATGAGCCATAGGACACTGCGGGCACCAAGTGTCCAGAGCACAGGTCGGGTTCTCGTTGTCCTTGTGCAATAATAATAATAATAATTAATAATATAATAATAAATAATGTAATAATAAATAATAATAATAAAGATGGTGGCAGTCAAAGCGACGCCTCCACCACATCCGAAAGTCGTGACTCAGACAACATTAGTGTCATCTACAATCCGTGTAAAGAAACGAAACAACAGCAGCAGCAGCCAGTCTCATTAAACAATATCAATAATAATATTAAACTCAAAAAAGCATCGTAAGTCATCATATTAATTAATTAATTAATAATAGTAATAGTAATAATAGTAATAGTAATAATAATAGTAATAATAGTAATAAAGTGTAAGTGTATATAGTAGAGGTCGAAATGGGTGTTGTTATGGGATGTGTGTGTGTGAAGATTTGGATATCTGAGTTATTTTCAATTTTTAGTTTTTAGATGCGGGTAAGATTACAAGTTACCTAAGACACGGGTAATTTTAGACCACGAGTAGTTCAGGTAACTACAAAAAATACGTAATCTAGGGGTGATTGAGTGCAAAAATTACCTAATCCACGGGTAATTTTTAGACCACCAGTGCCTCCTACCCGAACAAGCAGTAGACTGGAGACAACGTTCGATTCGAATTGTGGTGTTGTGACAAAGGATCTATCGGGAGGATCGATGCTCCTTATGAAGACGGCGATGCCCGAGGAATCGGGTGATTTGGGTAGAATTCGACCGATGGAACCGATCGTGATGCGACGTGTGCCTGTGCCACCACCCTACTCAGAGGTGGTTCGTGACGGGCGGGTTTACCCACCCGGGCAAGTACCCGTACCCGTAAACGTACCCGCTCAC